GAGTGTAGTGAAAGCAGTCTTGTAGCTTGTTAAATTAGTATCTATTAGGCCTGTTCCTATAGTGATTAAAATTGACACACAGGCTTGTATTTAATATATGCAATTATAAGACTGATAATTTTCTAGGCTGCAGTAATACAGTATAAGTGTAGGATTGTATGCATTTGTATGACCCAATCGCCATATTAAACATTGTAAACAACATTGTATAAGAAAGAAATACCTCATGTCCAAAATCCTATTGTAAATACATTCAGGTCAGTTTTAATGTCAGGTACCCCAAATGCAAGCAAGAACCCACAAATGGAGTGGCAGGTTACAGAGACACAAGAAGCCAGCCAGACCAGTTCACCTACCGGTGCACGCCGCTGTTGCACATGATGATGTGGCAGGCGCCCAGCCTGGTGCACAGCTCCGAGGAGACCGAGAGCAGGCCCACTCCGGAGGCGCTGCACGGCGTGTTCGCACAGGCAGCTGTGCGCTTGGACCTGATAAATGAGGTCACCAGTCGATAAAGCTCATCCAAAGCATTGAGAGGCCTCATTAGCTGCAGAAAAAGTGATGAACAATCAGTTAAACATGCTCGGTCGAAAATCCTTCCACACGGGAGATGATTCACAATCTTTTTAGCTTTTAATCAGTGGTTTAAAATATTATTTTATTCTAGAAGTAACAGCTCCAGAGGATGCAAATCTTTGTAATTCCACAATACTCAAGCACAATAGCAGAACAGTAAATAAATGAGGGATAGAAATGGGCCCATTCCTTGTTACCTTATCGACATAGGCAGCTTTGGATGTTGAGTTTGGTGGTGAATTTGACTTGTCCAGGTAGAAAGCCCTGTGGGATCCAAAGAAGACATGATTATTTACTGCTTAAAAGAAGGCCTAAATGTGAATTAAAATGTTCTGAGATTTTCTGACTTCCTTTGAGACACAGATGAATAAATAGAATCCTTGAACTGTGGGATGAGAAAGGGGGCAAAAAGTCCCTAGTCTTCCATTGAAAACAAACAACAACAACAACAACAACAACATTCAAGTTAACACCAGCGTCCTTCTGTGGGGATTTAGAGAGATTGCATAATGTCTCGTGTCCAAATTTCAATTTCTTTGGTTGTTATTTAGGTATAACATTAGCTTCTCCTTCACAAGTCTGCTGAGAAGATTAAATCAGCATAAATAAAGTGTTCAGAACAGTGCACAGCACAGAGTGAATGCTCCAGTATTGGCAATACTTTACATATGTAACTAACACAAAGGCTAAAGAAATAGATCGTCTTGTGACTGGGGAACAAAGCAGCCCAGGTCACATAGCGGGTAATGATCTGGCTGCTCATGGCAAGATTATAATTTAAAACCCACCAGTTACTTCACGGGAGAAAAAGGAGCCTTTTCATTCAACTTAAAGACTCGCAGCCCTGGAAGCCCAAAGAGGCAGTTCTACTCTGCCTATTGCGTTTCTATGAGTTGGAATCTACTCAGTGGTAGTGGGCTTGATTTCACTGGGGGAACAAAAGCTCGCTGGCAGTGCTGCCATTTAGGCATCGAGTTGCTAATGGCAAGATCACCAGTTCAAATCCATCAAATACTCAGCAGTGAGGCAGCCTGCTCCCACAAAGAGTTCAGTCCCGGAAATTCTTTATGGGGTCACAGGAAGAACACAGTCAATCACAGTAAGTTTGATTGGTTTTCAGTGGTAAACATTATTCAGTTCTCCTGTTTTGTGCAAGCATAAAGATTGTGAAAATAATTTTAAGACTAATTTTCCATAGAATACTTAACCTAATGCTTTCAACTAATATGCTCCATTCAGATTGTAAGCTAAACCCTTTTTAAAAACACACTGGCTCTTTTTTTTGGTCGCCAAAATGCAATATGGTAACGACTATTTTAATACAGTACATGGAATCCTTGCAGCCTCAAATAATTAAATGCAGTTTCCAAAGAATTATAGCTGGATCAGCTTAACTATTGTCTCATTATCAAATAGACAATGTAAGGGATTGACCCAAGAAGACAGGATTCATCTAGTTATATTAATCTAGTATTAATTTTTAATGAGATAAAATGATTTTTAAGATGTGACAATGATATTAATATCACAAAATAAGTACTATAATATTTCGGTGAATTGTCACCCTCGACACTTGAGTAAAGCTGAGTATATTGGAAATTCAGATCATTTGTCCAACCTTAAAACACTGGGGGTTATCATCCAATGAAAAACAAGTGAGAGGAATCAGTGAGGAGGAGCCTGGTCAAGTCCAGCCCCGATCTCTCGAGACTTGAGGTCCACGGCTTGGACACAGAAACACAGTCACTAGGCTCAGGAATAGTAGTAGGAGTGGTACTTGTTTTTTGTCTGCTTAAAACAAAATTGCATGGATCAGGCAAGCTTTACACTTCTCTCTCTCCTCTTTCTAAGTTTTGCTGAGATAGAATTAGCATATCATGCAATTCTATATTTGTGGGGCACCCTCAAATAAATAGGTCAAAACAACACTTTCAATTAAAAGAAAAACACACTAACTGAAAAATAACTGCCATTAAGTAAATGCTGACTCATAGTAACCCTCTGTGGGTTTCCAACACTATAATTATTTATGGGAGCCAAAAGCCTAAGCTTTCTCCTACAGAGAACCTAGTGGCTTTGAACTGTTGACCATGCAGATCCCAGCCCAATTCATAACCACTACACCATCAGGGTTCCACACACTCTTGACTAACCCAAACCAAACTCACTGCCATTGGGTCAAAGCTGACTCATGAATTCCCTTGTGGGTTTCCAAGACTCTACTGTAATTGTTTATGGGAGTAGAAATCCAGACTCTTTCCCCACTAGCTGCTGGTGGTTTCCAACTGCCTACCATGCACACCACAGCTTAAACCCTCAAAATAACTTCCAGAACGAAAATTCAATTTATTGTCTGTGAGAATCTGTTCTTTAAATCTCTCAGTTATAAGTTATTAAAACAATAATAATAAAGACATTACAGAAAACAAGGCTGGTAGTTGGTCATTATAATTCATTTTGAACTCAAAGCGATTTTCAAGCACATCTGAAGTTCCCTCCCCCTTTTCCCACAGCTACTCATTGCTGACATTGTCAAGAGGGTGGGAACTCAGCAATCCAGAGGCAGCAGAGCAGACACCAGACATTGATGGGGGTTATTTATATAACATGGACAAATTGCCAAGTGGAGCATATGTCAATTACCATGAAAATATAATTCCATTTAGCTAGCTGAATCAGCATCCCTTAAAGGATTGAAAACAAATACCTATTTTGATTAAAATCAAAGGCGTTTAAGATATCATTTAATTTTTTTAGATTATTCCACGCAGGAGTAATAAAAATCTAAAGTGATTGTAATCAGACTAGGAATTGCATTTGAATTGTGAGGGATGAAATCACGAGGAGTTGGTAATGAGCTAATGACAGAACTCAGAAGGAACGGATTCCATAGTGCCTTATTGGCCAGGATAAAGAGTTTGGATTTTATTCTAAGAGATTTGAGCCACGGGGTGGGGGTATGGGAATCATTCAACTTGCTTGCCTTATTGCTAGAAGTTGCAGTTTTGTAAAAATGATTATTGTTAGGCAAACGTTAATGTTATCTTGAAAGTTGTGTTTTTCCAAGTATACAGAGGAGTGTTTACAATAAAAAAACAAACAATTGTTGCGGAGTTCATCCCAACTCATAGTGCCCCATGCGTGTCAGAGTAAAGCTATGCTCCACAGAGTTTCAGTGACTGACTCTTCAGAAGGAGGCCACCAGGCCTTTCTTCTCAGACACCTCTGGGTGACCTTGAACTTACAATCCTTTAGTTAGTAGCTGAGTGTGTTTGTTATTTGCCACACCTCGGGTTTCTGGCTTTGGGAGTTGCTACTTACTGCTATCAGGAGAAAGATGAGGCTTTCTACTGCTGTGAAGAGTTAGTGGCAATACCTCGTAGGGGCAGTACTACTCTGTCCTGTAGGGTCGTCGTGAGTCGGCATCGACTCCATTGCATCGAGTGTTTGGAGTTTACTCACTGACACGGAGTCCATTCTCATGTGCAGGGGCCCGCTGTGGGTTTCTGAGACTGACTGGATGGGAGTAGGAAGCCCCATCGTTCTCCTTCGGAGAGACTGGTGGATTCATATGAGTGACCTTGTAGTTAGTGGCCCAAGGCTTGCATCCATGTTCATGCCACCATCTGTTAATGAACCTGAGCATTTTGCTCTTTTGTTCACTACAGATGCAGTTGATGCTCGATTCACCTCTACGCACACATGTTCTTGCCCCAATCTCTCCCTCCGCAGGATGACACCATTGGAAACTTAACTTGTATCATTTTTATCATGTTTTGTAAGGCTTCCCACACTGTTGTTCTAAACGGAGGCAACAAAGAATAGATGGGACCATTCTTCCCCATCCTTGCTCACATGGATATGATTCCGTTTTCAATTTTGTTTTGGCTTTCAATTGGCATATGATTGTTGGACATTCGCACTTCTTTTATTTTCTTGCTCATTTTTTCTTTTACTGTTGGGCAGTCTTACATAAAAGTTAGCTATTTTTAGAAGCAGCATTTATATTTAATGACTTTTAAAATATTTCCTCTTTGCTCTCCCACCCCTAGTTGGCTTCCTGAAGAATATCCAGATTTAAAAATTGATCATTTGATTCATGTTTTTGGATAATGTCTGTGATGCATTGCTTGAACTTACAATCCTTTCGTTAGTCGCTGAGTGTGTTTTTTTATTGCAACACCGGGGGATTCTGGATTCGGGACTCGCTACTCCTTGCTATGAGAACGAGGAGGCTTTCTCCTCCTGTGAAGAGTTATAGTCGCCATCACTTGATACTCGATAACATGGTGATGCTGCCATAAAACTCTAGAACTGTGGCTTCCAACCTTCCTAATGTGCACACCCTTTAAGACAGTTCCTCATGTTGTGGTGATCCCCAACCATAACATTATTTTCGTTGCTACTTCATAGCTCTCATTTTGCTACTGTTATGAATCAGGCGACCCCTGCAAAAGGACCATTAGACCTCCTAAAGGGGTGGCGACCCACAGGTTGAGAACTGCTGTTGTAGAAGATAGATTGATCGTGACATCCCTCAGCTCCATGTC